GTATTCGCCGAACTCCGTCTCTTTCGGATGGAAGGATCTGTTCCTGCGGCGAGAAGCTGTTAACATGCAAAGACGAGGTTAAATGAGTAGGCTATTCTCTTCTGTCCTTCCATTCGGGACGCAGATTCGACGAGCGTGTGTGACCCTCCTTAGTATTCCGCACGACGTCGCTCTTCTTTTTCGCGCCACAGCGCCATTCTTTTTCCTCTCCCTCTCTGCTGCCACCCCTTTATTCCACTCCATGTAACATGTTCTTCGCATTAATATAGCACGACTTAAAACAAAGAACGATCGGCCGTCATCTCACTCCCCTTTCCTTCGTCCTTCTCTCTTCCTATCATCTCTTCTCTTCTTCTTATCGACTTTGTTCTTCCTGTGTCATATCGCTTTTCTCTTTTGCACGTCCTAGAAGACGCGAAAGACTGGACGTATATATTCGTTAAGTCGAAGCCTAGGAGAAGTCCCTCAAATTGGAGGGATTTCGTTCCTGCCTCGTACGTGCTGGATCTTGACCTTTGAACACTTTTTTCTCCTTCGGGACACAACCTTCGACACTACTAAATCACACAAAGTTATTTCATGTAAAGACATTATGTCTTTTACAATATATTTAGTAAAGTCAGTTATAAATAATGTTTGATATTAGTCACACCAATAAAAATATATCATGTTGCATCATATATACTTGTTGTTCTGTTACAAATAGCATTACATGCATTATACATATGCATTTTATCAGTAATATTAATAACTATTATCCAATAATTACACTTATCTCTCATGATAAAATATTCTTAGAATTGATATTATTAGAAAATCTTAATATATATATAATCTGAAAATATCGTTACATTATAAAAAGTTAAATCTTCTATTTTGAAGATTTCGTAAAAATAATTGTTAAAATAAAAATAATTGTATTAAAAATAATTAAAAATAATTGTTGTAATAAAATAAAATGTAGAATCAAAAGAATAAATAAATGTTTGATTTATATGTATATGAAGAAAATAAAAAAATCTTTCTTTTATGCTTGTAATAATTTTTTAAATTATTATTCTGCATTGGTTCATCTTAAATTATATGCTAAAAATTTGCACTTATAGGCCACCGATTATCTGCTGTACGCTTTGACCTGTAGATTGCAAGTACTTTGATTGCAAAGCATTATCAGTATGAATACGAAATATAAAATATGTAAAGCGATACACTTACTCTTTCGCATGACAGCAATTACATAATTAGATATGTATTATATAATTAACGAAAATAATACAAATATAATAAAAATAACACACTGCGGGAAAACACCAAATTTTATTAATCTACAATTAAATTAACAAAATTTGATTAAAGATAAAAAATCTAAGATCGCTTATATTTTTAAAATTTTGAATCATCTATTATTATGTAAATTTGACTTGTATAAGAAAATATTTTTATGATGAGTTGCAACCTATCTCATGTTTTTTTTCATGTGTCTTTGCTTGGAATTTTTTTCGGAATTATTTTTATTCATCATTTAATGTTACATCAAGGTTATTCTTCCATAAATACGAATATTTCTAAATTCAATTTTTTTTTCAATATGTAATTTGAGCCAATTTTCTTATTTGATTGTGTATTGAAAATCGCAAGTATCGCATTCCTTAAATATGCCGCTTCTATTATCAGTATGATTATGTAAAAAAGTGTTTTGACTGCGACCAGTTGAAAGCACTGTGTGAAAGATATACATCTGTTATCTTACACGCACGTTAGCATGTGTGTAAACGAAGATAGCCTACATACGGTGATTCGGTAACACATATGAGTAATTTAAAATTGCATTGAATGAGAATAGAAACTATATAGCAATGTGTGAAAATATTACCAGATTTATACGCACTTGATTCTCATTATATGTTGTGCAATGTGCGATATTTCGATGATGGAAATTAGACTAGAAATGTCATTACGTATATGTCAAAATATGTATGCGTGCTATTTTATGTATCTAGCGTTTAATATTACAATAACCATACAATTGAACTGTCTGTTCGGGGAAATTAAAATATTTTTCAGAATATATCTATACTACTACGTTTCTTTTTACGTTCCTTATGCATTACCTTGTATAGTCATGGACGCGCCGCATATTCCAGATGTGGTTCGAAGTGACCGCATATGGCAATGAAAGTTTTTGCGTAATTACGAAGTACAAATCGTCGAATCATTCGGACTGATGCATCATTCGTCAAGATACGATGAGAGGAAAAAAATGAATATTAGAAGGCTAATTGTGCATCTTATGTCTCTATCGCGTCTCTCCAGCAACTTTGCCATCGTAAAGCCCTTCGAAGTTCTCCGGACCTACTCGACGCAGGACGAATTTCCTAGGGCTACTTAACCTGCGCCAACACGTATTTCCCATGCATTTTAAGGATTTCGGACTATAAGAGCGGTGTTTTGTCGAAGTATGAGCACGTAGTTGCCGTGAAAGGATCATAGAGTGGACTTAGCTGCAGAATCCCGTGTAAAACTTGCCCGGAATAACAAAGTTCCGCGTCTCGGGGACATCGATGTTCCGCTCTTTCCGTGGTCAGATTTTTTATTTTTCCCGAAGAGCTCTATTATGACGTTCGACTTCGCCGACCGATTTATACTCTCGTTATTGGCAGATTCTCGTTTAATGCTTTACCGCAAAAAGCTCGCACATCTATTAGCTTTAATATTGAAACTTACAATAGCGACATACATTAATATAGAAAATATATTTCCAAAAAGAATTTCCAGATATTGTAAATATTTACTGGATAACATATATAGTTATTTAAAAAAATTATCTATTAATTATTTAATTATTAAAAATAATATAATAATCAGTTATACCTGATATTTTGTTCAATATATTGCATTTCTTTTATTATGTATATTGAGACTAACTTTGTGCGAATACTGATTATATACTTATTTCATTGTATTTTACTAATTTTAATTAAATTTATTAAAGTATTCATATATCCGGCGAGGATATTCAATAATTCCATCATTTTATGTGAAATCTATATGCTCACTATATTAACCGATAATGATATGGTGGACGCGCAATGCTGCGATTGTTTAAAGGACAATTTAAATGCGGACCGAATCGTTAAATTGCCTGTAATAAAACTGTGTATGCGAACAATGTACCGGCTGTTTTCTGCCAGGATGTTGCCGCGCATCATGGTCGTTATCGCGATCTAAAATGGTCTCTCGCAGTACGTTTTATCTGCGACCCGCTAAGTCCGGACTTCCGCAATTTCGAAACAACGGGCATGATGGGCGTTGTCGCGTTTTTCTCGAATCGTTCACTGCTTATAATTATTATGCTTGAGAGATGAATTTCAACTACTCGTTTACTACTTATGATTGTTAACGCTTAAGAATGAATATTTTACCCCTTTTGAACAATAAGATGAAAGTACTATTAGTTTGAAATTAGAATAATAACATTGAATATAATAATAATGTTTTGTATTTCTTTCCAATATTATTTTTTTTTTTTTAATAAGATGAGTTTCTAATCGGCAAAAAAGTCGTTTCGCGTTGCAACGAATGTTTGGTTTCTCGAACGTGGATTAATAAACGTACCATCGTGTCGTTAGCCTCGTTAAAACCGAGTTCAAAGTTATGTAACGCAAACACATTGTTTCATATTCATATTTAGAACACATGCCGTGCATGCACGAGAGGATGCGGTTTTCTTGCAAGAGTGTGCGAGCGTGTTGGATGTTGCATGCGAATCTTTAAATGCCCGACGCGGTGTGTAAATGCACCACAGTAATAATACATCTCGTCTGATGCGATTTAAACTTCATTACCGGTACATAAACTCGCGCTTATGGAAAAAGACAGCTAGTTCCGCTCACGTGTTACAAAGCCACGCATTTTGTACACATAGACATCGCATTAAAACTGAAACACCTGTCTCATTTGTCGTGCAAAAATTATCCTATTAAAAATAATTAATAGTAAATGAAGAATTTACTTTAACATCTCGATTTATAAACAATTTTTGTTAAATTAATTAAATTGTATACATTTAAAAGAAAGATATACAGAGAGAAATTAAAAATTTTAGAAGTTAATTTTATTATAGATTTAATTTTAAAGAACCATATTCTCTTAATTTCATTTAATTAAGCTATACTTTGCTATCATGAAAGAATTTACTCGCGATGTCCCGTTAGTCGATCATTGCTGAATGCATTTATATCTTTTATTCGTATAAGAAACAGTCACATGCCTATGTAAGGTCTTCCTGAGCAGCATATATTCAGTATATTATTCATACTTATGTTGTAATGGAGACACTCTTGCATAATCGGGCGGACCGTACCTGGACTCGTCAGATATTCACCCATAACGATACGTTATTCCAGTTGGCTTTTCTGGTTTATACTTCGCTATATGGTACGTTGGGTTCTCCATTTTCATCCTGCACGAGCAACGTCATTGACCCGTACTCGAATCCTGGGCAGTTTGCCGGTCGCGCGATTCTTACGGAATCACGACGCGCCGGCAGAATGGCTCGACGATCCTGAATTTATATCGTGTGTTTAGGTGAGAATTGGTTCTTTATGAGGGACACGTGAGGATACTTGGCGATATACACGCTCGAGGATCTCTTACACGTACATGCCGCTGCTGTTCGCGCGCGTGCGGGCACATATGGTTATCCGACTCTCGGTAGGGTGCCCAACGAGATAGTGACTTATGAATTTGTCATAAAGCGGAAAAAATTGTAACGAATTCAGGGGATATTCTTGAAACTATTTGAAATGCGAAAAAGTCAGATTTCGAATTTAATGTTTTACGAATAAACTTATAAGTCTGTACTTTTCTTCTGCGGTGATAAAACAATTAAATAGATTAATTGAAATATTATATTTACATATTATAATAGTTATCGAGATAAGAATAATCTCTTACTTTTAAAGATTCAATATCTACAATTTTGATTCATTTTTTTTTAGGACGATGACCTGATTTTCGATCCAGAAGGTAAACAACCTGCAGTTCAAGCGCCAATGATAGAAATGCATCAGGACGAATCTTTTCTTCATAGGATAAAGAGAGGAATCTTCGATTTATTTTCCGCATCATCGACAACAACGCCATCATCTTCAGGTATTAATTTTTTCTTAATAAAATATAATTAAAAGAAATTGAATCTGCATTGTTATATTATTTTGTGAATTTTTTATCATATTACAATATATTGTTGAAAAAGATTTACATTATTGTTCAATTATTCAATTTTTCAGATCAAAAAGAAAATCAAGAGCAAACATTTGACAACTCGGTCATCTTAAATGGTCATCTCAATGGAAATGAAGAAAATCATACTCTCCATCAACCTGAAACGCCAAATGCCGAAACAAATAATGGAATCGAAAGATTGACTCTCGAGACAGACGAGGATGACGACGAAATAGATAACAAAGTATGAAAAAATCTCTTTAAAAGTATCTTACTTTTTATCATCTCATCTGTTTATCACGTTTAATTAGATTATATAATATTTTTCATCTAGATAGTATTATTACAATATGATAATAGCATATGTTACAAGATTTATAAATTTGTGCTTTTTGAGTTTCTTCACATTTATCCATGAAAATATTTTTTATGAAAATATTATTATACTTTTTATAGCACGAGATAAATAACGTCGCTGAAAGTCAAAGAATACCGCTAACATATGGGAATTCCGATGACGAAGATTTGGCCGGTTCAGGAGAAATCGAAGGCAGTGCGAACGAAGAAGATTTGGTTCGTCCAAATATAATAACTCAACATCGCAACACTGATGGAAAAGCACGTAAGTTTCTAATTTTTTAGAGATCCAACTCTATTAGTTCAAATTTATTAAAATTTATAAGTCTTTAATTTTTTCTGCTTTTTTTCATAGAAAGAAAGATAGATGACGAATATTTTAAGAAAAGAGAACTTTAATTAATTTTAATTATTTGTGAAAACAAAAATACAATTCCTTAATATGAACAATATATAAAGATTAGAACATTAACATTAACATTAACATTAAAACAAATGCTATAAGCGCACCAAAATTTTAATTCCTTCTACTGTAATATGATACGAGAAAAAATATATGAGTACATTATTCATATGTACAGGGTGTCTGACAATCTCCGTACAATACTTTAATAAATAATTCTAGGAATAAAATAAAGTAAAAAGTTCTAATATAAAAATGTTGAGGCTACAGAATTTTTGAAGTATAAGAGATCAAAGTCTTCCAATAGAATCACGTAAAATTTGCACGCTCAAATCTGTCAATTTGCAATTTATACCGATCTGTTATTGATTTGTATAGAGTACGCTTTATAATAAAAAAGAGAAGGTTATGTACATATGTGTATGTGTACGTATGTGTATGTAATTCATTTTTAAAGGATCGATTACTCATTACTAATTTCTTTTTGATAGGATTTTACCGAATAACATTGACAGTCGGCGAGCCATACAGACGAGAGTATTCTGACAGAAACAGTCCTGAATATCGGGAATTGAGTGGTAATCTCACTCATGCCCTCGAGAAGTTGTACGATCGTTACATCCCGGGATACAATCATTTCGCTAGCGTCGTCAAGATATCGTGAGTATAATTATCTACTATTAATTTCTTTCTCTCTCTTCATAATATTATTAAAATATTATATCTTCTTATTTAAACTATTTCAATACATAATTAAATTTTGCTTTTGCAGACCAACGACTGACGCATTTACGTCACAAGTTACCTTAGATATTGGTTCGACGTTCACGGACGAGCTTGAGGTGCGTGCCGTCCTAGATCAACAGTTGCAGTTTCATTCTTTAGACGGTATCCAAGTAGGTCCGGAGGGATTCACATTCAGGATATTTCAAGGTATTTTTATAGATGACCACTCCACCTGACGACTCCGGAAATGATCGATTTCGTTAAAGTTTTCGAGACTCAACTTCGTAATTTGTTTCAACTTTCTGCGATGCCGTGAACTTACAGAAAGTCTGAATACAATAAGCGCGAAGAAGAAATCCGGTGAATATCAAATGATTGACTACTCAACGGTCGGAATTGATTAATGGCTGCACAAAATATTATTTGTATGAAACGATCGCAAAAATAATATATCTAACATCGAAAGATCGATCATTTTGGTGACGATGTTTTCAATATGCTTAACCCTTTAACTACGGCCGTCGTCAATAGACGACGAATAGAAATGCATATCCGTAATTAAAGGGTTAAATTATTAAAATATTGATATAAATAGAACGATATAAGTAGATATGCACGAAGAACGCAATCTCTGTCTCAAATTGCTTGCAAGATTCACCTACACAATTTTTACGATATTTAATTACTTAATTCGGTTTCTCTTTTGTTTAGTTTGTTTTTTTATTAAGTTCATTATCGTTATTTTAATTTTGAAATTTCTCCTCGATTATCTTATTTTTGTTCTCATTAAGTATTTTTGTTTTAAATTTTCTTTAAAATAAACACATTGGCGCCACGAACCACTTATTCCGCCCACTCTTGATACAACGAATACACATAAATACGGCATTCGACATCTGGATACAGCGGGGGAGAAAACCGAGCAGCCAGAATGTGATCAAACGGCTGAATTAAGATGTAGAAGCGGTGAATGTGTGCCACTAGAATCGCGCTGCGATGGCGTATTACAATGCAATGATGGTTCCGACGAAGATAATTGCTCGACAGATTTGTCAAATAGAACGAGCGATGGTAAGTACGCAGGATTTGAATCCGTATTATGTAATCATCTCCTCGCGAGGAAAATGAAACTTCACAGTAATATTGCTCAAACTCATGGCTTATTTATAATGCTTATATGTAAAATATGTATTTTTACTCTCTCCTCCTGATGAAATCTATTGTATATATGGTATGTCATAACTGTAATCATAGCTTCATGATAGATTTATTCTGCATGAGATTCTGCATGATAATTCTCTTAATTTATAATCAAGTACAAAATATCACATTTATATGAAATAATAATCTTGGAGTCTTGCAGAAACTTGCATCCATGGAGAGCGTTATATATAAATTTTAAATTATCTTTTTTATTTTTGTTCATTTTCTATTAAATGCATGTCTTTCAACCTTGTTTAATTGATAATATTATATTTCACTTACAAAGTACTTGAAAACAAGATGAAAAATAGCATTTACATTTATATCATCATTTAGTTAGTATTTATTTATTATTCGCTTAATTCATCAATTTTATTAACACATGTATGATATTCGTACACCAATTGAACCATACTGATGAACGAAACAACAGATTTCGAGCACACCACTATGGAGACACGACAGGAGAATTCAGGATATTTCCCGGTAGATTCAAAGGAACTATCTGCTGAGGTAAAACCGGAAGTATCAGACATCGACGATGATAGGGAAGACGAGGTGTCTACGCTGAGGTCATCGTCAAACATGTGTCGTGCCGATGACACGGTACGCTGTCAAGATGGCAGTCGTCATATTTGCTCGGTGCAACAATGCGATGGTGTTCTAGATTGTGATGATGGTGGTGACGAGGTCGACTGTCCACATCCAGGTATAAGTTGAACCAGTTGATCCTCGCTGATTTAATGGTAAAAAAGATCAAGATAAATATTCAATATTGAAATCTTCTTTTTTCAAAATTCACAAATTTTATATATTTTAATATAGAAACATTGTTCTTCTCTCATTTTTGATGTAATTTTATTTGAACGCAATAATTATATATGCATTGTTGCCAGGATAATAAATATAATTTATAATTGTAATGATATAATTGTAATGATTAATTGTAAAGTATTAATATTTATTATTTTTTCTGCTTTAGAATTTAATAATATTCCATACGTATAATTATTAAATTTGAATATTGTAATATAAAAAATGAAATAAGAATGATCATTTTTTTAAAGATTTAAATTTTAAAAGTTTTTATCAACACATAAAAGATTTTTTAAAAATAAAAAATTTAATCATAAATATTAAGCATTTATTCTTTTAATAATGTAATAAAGTTACAGAATTTACTGTATATATTGTAAAATGACAATCGTTTAATACTTTTTTGACATTTTTAATTCGGTATGATTACTTATTACCAATATTTATTTCTGGCAATTTAATTTTTTCATAATTTAATATTTATTTTAATAATATCTATAATTGATTGCACTTCGAGTTAATTTGAACGGATTTGAATTATTTTATATTTGTATTACTGCAGTATAAGATATTTAATCATAATTTTTGATAATTTTATCGACATTCATAATATTGCAAGTATTCTGTTAAATATTAATAAAGTTATCGAGAAAAATCTAAATATCATCTATGAATAAACGTGCAGTCAAGAGTATTAAGAAAATTATAAAACATTATATATATATATATATATATATATATATATATATATATATATACATGTGTGTGTGTTTTGCGTCAGTGGTATAAATGTGTGACAGTTTCGTTAAACGAACTCCGTGCGACCATAGTTTCAAGCACGCGCGCGTATGCGCATACACACAATTATCAAAACAAATATTGGTAAAATTAAGAATCACATACTAAACATTTATTCCTTTTTACATAATAACATGTATATATTATTATTATATAAGATATATTTAGAATTTCCACTCATCTATAGTATTTTATTCGTTTACAAATGTATATATGTCAATAGAATTTGTAGATTTTTATTGTATATTGATGCATGTAATTAGCATGCTAGTAATAATAAGAAATCGTATGTTTCTCTAATACTTTTAAAAGGTAAATTTTATATGTAATATTTTATAATAATTTTGTAAGTAATAATTTATTATTATTATCATATATAGTTGTGTATTTTTGTGTAAGTTTGAAAGCATTATGATAATCATAAACAAAATATTGTAGTTTTAAAGTGGAATCATTATGCATTGCAAAAATATTAATAATTTATATTATATCTTATAGGCTGCAGCGCTGGAGAATTCGCATGCGACGTAAACAGATGCATATTGGAATCTCAACGATGCAACTTCCTAGAAGATTGTCAAGATGGTAGCGACGAACACGACTGTAATTATCCCGGTGAGTACACAGTTTTTTATAACAATGTTAATATAAATTTTGATAATAAGCTATGGGAACTCTTAGTTGTTTAAGCAGAAAATTTTCTGTTTAATTTTGTATATAGATGATCACACATTGCCGTTAAATCTATATTTCTATTTATTATTTCTTATTTTTTTCACACATATTAAATATAAAAAATCTAAAAAATATATTCGGCGAAATTAAATCAATTATCCAACCGGAAATTTCAGTTTTATCGACTGCGCGATAACATAGACCATGTCTATGAACGACCTGTAGCTTATCTACGATCGCCAGTTTATCAGTTAGGACGTAGATTTCGCGAGGTGAAAAGATACAGAGACTAGTTACCTGTTCTACCGACCCGGAGAATCGATATGGCCGTTATCTTTCGCTACATTTTCCCCGCGTAAAACTTTGCTTATCGAGACTGACGGTTTATTAGCGACGCGCCCCATCTTGACACTCGAATGTTAATTCAAATCGGTCTGTCCTTTATTCAACTGCGAGAGTTGGCGCAAATTTCCGGCGACGTATCTTTTCCGCAAACGACGAGGCGAATCCATAAGTAACGACGGAAGCCGCAGTTTTTTTCGTAAGAAAAATAAGGTCAGACGGGGAGAAGCCGAGAGGCGAGCGGGATATACCTACTGAATATTCAAAGCTCGGGGAGGCTTTTTCTCTCCGCCATCCTCTTTTTCCGGTGCTTCCTGCAGCTCGAGTGGAGGACGATCGTGGTCAACAACGTGGAAGCACCGGATGCTGGCCGATGTTGTAAAGCCCGCCCGATTGCGGCCACACGTACGCGCTTTGTTGTGCGAAAGCCAGCTTAATTAGACGGCTGCGCGCGTTCGGCCGGGGTAAATTAGCTTGGCGGTATCGGCCCGTGAATTATATCCTCGCGCCTTCCCCATGAAAAGAGCAAAAAACGCCCAATAATGAAATAAATTGCGATTTGATACGTTATTTGACTGCTGTTTGCATTGTACCTTAAATCAATAAGACACAATAGTGAGTTATTTACGTTTTTAAACTTGACTAAGAAATAGAGATATGATGTAGAAATAATTTTACGCGATGTCTTTACAGAAATTTTTCCAATATATAATTGATGATTTTTTTTTTTTAATAACAATACTTCGCGTAATAGCGAGAAATTCGAGGCAGCGAGCTAATTATTCCCGAGAATTATACAATGTACATAACGAGTCGGCGTTAACACATTTGCGCATACAATAAAACGTAGCGTTTTACATGGAAACTTGTATTTTTCATCATTATCGTGATTTCACAATTATCCTCCCATTCAAAATGAACAATCCACAATCACGATTTGAAACATCATTCTTCGAGGGAACTACTCGATTGCTAATAAATATCTTTCTCGCTATCGAAACAATTTACTATGATCTAGGAGCTTACTTGTGGCTACTTCAGTGTAAGCATCTATCTATAATTGATTCTCATCTCATTGTCTTATAGAAGCATCGCGGAAACTGGTTCTCTTGTATTCGCGTTTCCGTCCTCGTAACCTCGCGTGCGCTGAAGGCGAGAAGAAAAAAAAAACAGGAACAAATTGAGGAATGGCTTCCCGTTATTCCGTTAATCGTTGACCGGCGGCGAACTAGGCCAACGCGCGTTCGCGGCACGATGGCTCGCGATCGAAGGATATAATCCTGCGAAGGCCGATCGTAAATCAAGCAACCGTGCACGCTCCGTACATCCGCGCTCTCATCATTTAAACGTCTCATGGTTAGCGGATATCTTTCGAGTCTTCCGGCATGCCTTTTTTATCCGTCTGAGACGACGAGAGCTTGCGCGCGGACGGGCTGGTGCTGACGAGGGGTAGGCACGGGGGCTAGGATGGAGGCGAGTAGAGGGATCGTCGAAGCACCGCTTCACATAAATATCCGTAGACACGCAGGTCGCGGACCCGCAAGAAGAGCGCTTTTACCTGCTCCCAGTAATCGCGATGTGCATGCTTAATCAATATTCAAGTATTCAGTCGTGAGGCACAGGGGGATGATGTTAGCTCTCTTCCTCTTTTTTTCTCCCTCTCTCTCTTTTCGTTTCCCCTTGTTAACTCACCCTTCGCTACTCCACTTTCTCCTCTTCATTGCCCTCTCTCTCTCTTTCTTTCTCTCCCTTTAAGCAGGAATGCGCATAACCACTTTCGTGTCTCCGATGCTCTTCCCCCCTCGCGCCAACGATATGTCCCCTCGAACAATTATGAGTTTCGCTGAGTCGGGAGTTGGAGAAAGAGGCAACAGAATACAACAGCGTAGTGGGGAGGATAGAAGGGTAGAATCAGAAGAGAGGGAAGGAGGATAACCTGCACGCTAGGCACTGCCATGACAAATGTCAACCTCCGTCGTCTACGAACATTACTCAGGTGCGTCCTCGACTCGCGTATATAGACCGGTCGACTTAAACGTCCGCAACGGTACGTCCTTGAGCAGCAACGAAGATCCAAATGGTCGGAGGAACGATGGGTGTGGGAAAACGGGATATGATAAAATTTTAGTAAGCTCTTCGCTAATATATTATAAGAAGTCTTGCTTTTCTGATACGACGTTCCATAAATATCATAGAAGTATACTTTTCTGAATAAAGCTCGCCGAGACCAGGCTTTTGGAAGATTTATTTATCTTAATTTTAGAGAGAGAATTATCGATAAAACATAGTTTACGATTAACAGTATCGAAAATTAATGCTTAAAAGCATAAACAAAGTTTCCTTATTACATCGTTGCTACAGATTAATATTAGCTATAAGGGTTTTTAATTTATAATACTTTACATTTTAACAACGGTATAAAATCCTCAGAAAAATATCTCAATAAAAGTTTTCAAGATATTTGAAATATTTTTGTACTATGAAATTAATCTACTACTGGGTACGCCGACTAGGCTCGGTACCATTCGCGAATACAGTATTTCTTGGTCAAAAGACGTTCACGATTGCTTTTAGTGCAATGCATTCGTTATCGGAAATATAACGATGGAAGTAGTTTTAAGAGAGGTTTCTTCATGACTTACGATGGAAACCTCTTGCTCTTTTATGTAGTCATGTCACGTTAAACAAGACTAAATATTGTTTATGTAAACTTATAGATGCCAACAATTGGAATAAAATTTCTTTATCGCAAAAGTTAAAAAAGATTTATCTTGGAACTTGTATTAACATAGTTTATAAAAGAATTTAGTTAATCTCAAAAAAAATAATAAAAATTGTTGGTTCATTTAACCTAAACTTTTGGTGTCTTTTGGTTAGACTACTTAAGTGTAAGGCGAAGCGTATGTTGACTGAAAATGAAATATAAAGAAAAATGTGGTCGGCGCAGCACGGTAATAGACGATGATAATAGTTCATAATAATAGACTGCGCCTTCGGCATTTGATGCTTGTTCGATTACAAGCCGACTTGTATGTCGTATGACCATTAGGTTTACGCGAGACCCTCTCTCTTTTGCATGTCATTACATTTTTAACACTCGTACCGTCGTTAGCGTAAACACACGAGCGCACTCGCAAACGTCCGGTCTGCGAAAATTTATCGTTCTCTACACGTCCGAAGACCATTCACAAAAAGAAGTTAACTTAATGCGCGCCGACCATATCTAGAAACACAACTCGCTATCACTCCACTTCATTTGTAGCGATGAACAAAGGTTTTGCAAAACGCACGGACTGGAAATTTCTTTTCTGATATTGCTTGAATTATAGATTCATCTCTATTTCTTCAATATATAACATTATGCTATATAATCTCTTAATCTAAATTATTTTTCTTTCAACTGACAATTATACAAAAAAAGCTTGTATATATAATTTATTAAATATCATATACTTTTTGCCATTATATAAGATATTTAAATGATTTGAAAAAAATACATCAATTATTTTTTCTAATTAATATGCGTCAAGAAGGTTGAACATTTAGTTACAATTAATATTTTATTTATACTAAACAGAATAAACGTAGATAAAACGTGCACATTCATAAATTATGTTGACATACGTCGGCGTATTGATCGATCCAGCTACTTGGAGCAAATAATGACATACATTATCAGATCGCGAAACGTTATTACGGTATCTTATTCTAACGACATTATAATTAAATGTATAAAGAAATGTATTCTATCATTACGGAAAATATATGCTGTAGTTAACAACATTCTTTTCTGTCACAAAAACAATTATAATTAACTCATATATATTATATTATCCATATTAAATCAAATATATTAAAATTTTCAAGGAAACTACATTTAATGCCGCAAAATAATTGTGCACGATCGAATTATGGTTTTAAATCGAACTATTTTTTTATAGAATGATAGTTCTGGGACAAACAATATATTTCTGCATCGCAAAAAACATTCCTCATACATACTCCACATTTACATTGGTGCATTTTTCTTGAAGTTTACATTTGCGCGTTTTATACTCGGACAAAACCTAAATTGCCGAAACTATTTTCATCGCAAAACTGATATATTTAAAATGTACTTCTCGATTCAATGTAATTAAAATTAATTCTTATCATCTTTAAAATATTAAATTAAAATATTAAATAATTTAGGTTTTAAAAAGTCTTGTTTCAATTAGTTTATTAACAAAAAGAAAAAAGAAATTTTGACTTTACACATATTTCAATTTCTAACTGACGTTTACTCTGTCTTTTTTCTTTGTTTCTATCAATAAGAGGAACATCAGTCATAGTGACATGCGTCCGAATATGATGGGGATTAACTCGCGTTATAAAAGCAACCAACACGCGTAATATGGGCGCGAATACATGTTCGATCCTATCAATGGTATCAACGTTGCGTTAGAGTTCCGTGCCAGGTGGACGACGTATGAAGCTTATCCTTGTTGCATGCCATCGCGTTGGCATGATCCACGGCGTTTCGCGATTGCATCTTCGCGGCGCATAGTTACATTACGCTGATCAGGGGTTCGTTCGTTCGTTTACACTTTCGAGACAAG